TGGGGGCCTGGGAGCCTGGGGGCCTGGGAGCCTGGGGGCCTGGAAGCCTGGGAGCTTGGGAGCCTGGGAGCCTGGGGGCCTGGAAGCCTGGGGGCCTGGGGGCCTGGGAGTCTGGGGGCCTGGGAGTCTGGGGGCCTGGGAGCTGGGAGCCTGGGGGCCTGGGGGCCTGGAAGCCTGGGAGCTTGGGAGCCTGGGAGCCTGGGGGCCTGGAAGCCTGGGGGCCTGGGGGCCTGGGAGTCTGGGGGCCTGGGAGCCTGGGGGCCTGGAAGCCTGGGGGCCTGGGGGCCTGGGAGCCGGGGGCCTGGGAGCTAGGGGGTGACACAACAATGAAATGGTGGTATCAAAAGATACCGGTTGAGGCAAGTGGATTGAATAATAATCAATCTAGAATCCACTTGGGCCTCATGCCAATAAGTTCCAGTACGGCTGGGTGGTTTGATGTTGACCATAGTTCGCAGGAACTACTCTCGCCTCGTGAAGCAGACATCCAGGAAGGCAGGTTCCAGCTTTAGACAGGTAAAGCCCCTGCCCAGACAGTATGGACTTCTGCAGCAGTGCGGCAGTAGGGTGGACAGACCGGCATATGACAGTTAGGCAACAGAGCCTAGAGCTTAACAGTAAGCTTACAGGATACAACACCTGGAGCCCCAACCCTCCCATCTCACCTCCCTGTGTGAAACCCATTCCCCCTCCTTGTCACCACCCTCCTAAATTAAAACTTCGGCTGCAGCCCCACTATCGGAGGTTGGCTGCACTTGCTGCACATGTATGAGAGCATGAGAATTAAAGCAGGCACTGCAAAGACAGTGCTGACACATACACACCCAACTCCTCCAACCAGCCCCAGCCACACTTCCTAGCATGTAGTGTTATCATCATGACATGGCTAAAGATCCCACAACGAAACACACAACCGTGGCACAGATGTGCCCCACCACTACCTGCCTACATCAAACAAATCTGCCGTACTCCGATAGCCATATCGGAATACGACAGCGTTTTGATGCCCCACGTAAAACACACAAGAGCCCCGACCCTTACCCCCATCTTACCTCCATTCCCGGCTGGACGTCGGCCCCATCTTCCGAGGCCTGCTGCACGTGCAGCACGTGGATGGGAACATGAGAATTAGGGCAGGCACGTCAATTAGGGCAGGCACGTCAATTAGGGCAGGCACGTTAATTAGGGCAGGCACGTCAATTAGGGCAGGCACGTCAATGACGGAGTCGAAACATACACACACCCCTCCCCCAACCAGCCCCAGCCACCCTCCATAGCATCAGGAACAAGAAAGAGGGCAAGGGGTAACGAATCCACAAAGAAAAACGACCCTGGCACAGCTGTGCCCCACAACTACCTGCCTGCATCAAACAAATCTGCCATACTCCGATAGCCATATCGGAGTACGACAGCGTTTTGATGCCCCACGTAAAACACATAAGAGCCCTGACCCTCCTCCCCATCTTACCTCCATTCCCGGCTGGACGTCGGCCCCATCTTCCGAGGCCTGCTGCACGTGCAGCACGTGGATGGGAACATGAGAATTAGGGCAGGCACGTCAATTAGGGCAGGCACGTCAATTAGGGCAGGCACGTCAATAGGCACGGAGGCGAAACATACACACACCCCTCCCCCAACCAGCCCCAGCCACCCTCCATAGCATCAGGAACAAGAAAGAGGGCAAGGGGTAACGAATCCACAAAGAAAAACGACCCTGGCACAGCTGTGCCCCACAACTACCTGCCTGCATCAAACAAATCTGCCGTACTCCGATAGCCATATCGGAGTACGACAGCGTTTTGATGCCCCACGTAAAACACATAAGAGCCCCGACCCTCCTCCCCATCTTACCTCCATTCCCGGCTGGACGTCTGCCCATCTTCCGAGGCCTGCTGCACGTGCAGCACGTGGATGGGAACATGAGAATTAGGGCAGGCACGTCAATTAGGGCAGGCATGTCAATTAGGGCAGGCACGTTAATTAGGGCAGGCACGTCAATGACGGAGGCGAAACATACACACACCCCTCCCCCAACCAGCCCCAGCCACCCTCCATAGCATCAGGAACAAGAAAGAGGGCAAGGGGTAACGAATCCACAAAGAAAAACGACCCTGGCACAGCTGTGCCCCACAACTACCTGCCTGCATCAAACAAATCTGCCGTATTCCGATAGCCATATCGGAGTACGACAGCATTTTGATGCCCCACATAAAACACATAAGAGCCCCGACCCTCGCCCCCATCTTACCTCCATTCCCAGCTGGACGTCGGCCCCATCTTCCGAGGCCTGCTGCACGTGCAGCACGTGGATGGGAACATGAGAATTAGGGCAGGCACGTCAATTAGGGCAGGCATGTCAATTAGGGCAGGCACGTTAATTAGGGCAGGCACGTCAATGATGGAGGCGAAACATACACACACCCCTCCCCCAACCAGCCCCAGCCACCCTCCATAGCATCAGGAACAAGAAAGAGGGCAAGGGGTAACGAATCCACAAAGAAAAACGACCCTGGCACAGCTGTGCCCCACAACTACCTGCCTGCATCAAACAAATCTGCCGTATTCCGATAGCCATATCGGAGTACGACAGCATTTTGATGCCCCACATAAAACACATAAGAGCCCCGACCCTCGCCCCCATCTTACCTCCATTCCCAGCTGGACGTCGGCCCCATCTTCCGAGGCCTGCTGCACGTGCAGCACATGGATGGGAACATGAGAATTAGGGCAGGCACGTCGATGACGGTGGCGAAACATACACGCCCCCCTCCCCCAACCAGCCCCAGCCACCCTCCATAGCATCAGGAACAAGGAAGAGGGCAACGGGTAACAAATCCACAAGGAAAAACAACCCTGGCACAGATGTGGCCCACCACTACCTGCCTACATAAAAAAACTGCCGTATTCCGATAGCCATATCGGAGTACGACAGCTTTTTAACGCCCCACATAAAACACATAAGAGCCCCGCGCCTCCCGCCCATATCACCTCTCCAAGCGAGCCCAATTCCTCCTCACGGTGGCCACCCGCCTCCATTCCCGGCTGGATGTCAGCGAAGAGTAACTGAAGTTAGTTCAGCGACAGTGAGTGGCGGTGAGTTCTATTTTAACGTTGCTACAAGGCATAGTAAAATATAACACATATCCCTTATCCCAATTGAAGCTATTCCGAATTCCTTCTCACTTGAAGCGGTTTCCTTCTCACTTGAAGCGGTTCCGATTAGCAACAATACTTGGCCCATATCGTGTTTGACTGAGTTGGGAGTTATGGCTACGTGCTTTGGTCTTTCGTAATGAAGATATTTGTTTGATGGAGAGGATATTGAAGCCATAATAGCCAAAGCCGTACATGAGCGGTTATGTCAGCCAATGGCTCGGAAACCTCGTCGGTCGTAATTTTGTTCAGTAAACCTGACAAGGTTTTAAATGATTTCAGCCGACTTTCGGATATTGTGGCATGGACCCACCACATTGGCGGACCTGGTCGACAAGGTCGATCAATGTCGGCCTCGGGTAACCTTGCCTATGTACTTATTTGTTCATGAGTTATATTCTACTTTGTGCTGCAACAATCGGCGTTCCTTTGCGCCATGACCATGACTACCAATGGTCATGTTACATCGGAGCACCAATACAGGTGGCAAACACCGGAAGTAACCTAAATTTCACTTATGATGAATTCACCGGCTATATTCATGCTTCCCAATGTGCTTTCGGGACTGCACGTCAAAAATAACCTCGTCCAGACAACTGTCCCGTAGCTGCTGAGCCTTGGGCGCTACACGTCTCTGGACTGCCAAATGGCCGTAGGTAGAGAGCAAATCGTCAGGACAAATAATGCCTCCCCACACTCAAATTGGATGGCAAACATTTTAACTAACCTCGTCATAACATTTCACACACACAGCGCGCATATCTGTGCATAATTATGACACTTTCAAGGTTGCACATTTACCAAGCTTCTAGCTGGCGAGTAACCTGTCCAGACAACTGCCCCGTAGCTACTGAGCCTGACGAGTTACACGTCTCCGGACTGCCATAGGGATGTATTGCCAGGAATCCTAACTTAGTATTGCGTTACTGCTATTAATATACTCGACCCTTATAAGGGTCGCGTATGAAGTAATGCTGGCATCACTTTCAATATGTCTTGTCTTGCTAGGAAAATTCCTGCTATATATATACATATATATATAGCAGGAATTTTCCTAACAATATATATAAATACATATACATATATACAAAGCAGGGATACCTCCCTGCTTTGTACAGTGTCGAGTCGGTTACATGCATGTCTAGTTATATCCTTTCTTCTCATAACGAGGCCCAGCAGCTGCTGGGAGGAGCAATCGACAGAGTCCAACTTACCTCCGAAGCAGCGGACACCAACGTCCTGCAAGCATTCATCCAAAGCAACAGTACTTACGTGACACAGGTAATCAGGGATGTTACTTATATATGACAACGGCTGTAGTATCCTGGGCATATCACGGGACCCGCATCCACCGATCAGTTCTTTCCTGAAAAAGTCGTGATGTAACACGAACCCCGCTGCTGCAAACGCAGTGCGCAGCAGTGCACAGCAGGCCTGCTGCAGCACTGCTGCACATACCTAGGTATGTTGCAATTATGCCCCTGGTGCCGTAAGCATTATGGTATAGCGCGTTCCGTACATGTATACGTATTCCTCCCGCAATGCTACTATATATGTAGCTGACAGGAATATAGGTTAGCGGTAAAGGCGCAGAAGATGCATCTTCTGTGAACATATGTGAACAATCACCATACATGCATGCAACTGCAGGAATGCATTCCATATGGACACGCAGCACGGAGCATTGGAATTCAACAAGTGGACGGAGTGTTCAAACGTTTGCGCATTAATTACACCTTATCTATCTTGTGAAAGTTTTTACAACGCGGTGTAAAAATTACATTAGTTATTTACACGGCCGTGTAAATAACGTGACGTCATCAATATTGTGCATTGGTTACGCACGGCTACGTACGGGTACCAACCTCGTTGTGATCGCAATCGTGAAAACCCCAGCCATTGAAATTGCATTGGTACAAGCGAGCTGGCGTCGGGTTAGAAGGACAGACCACATTGTCCTGCAAACAAGCAAATATGCATACATGCAGTTCATTCGCGATTGCAAGAGACAAGGTTGCCATACATAGTAGTACAGCCGACAGCGGCAGGGCCCTGCCTGCTGCTGCTGCCTCGAGCAAGCAGAGCAAGCAAGTAATACGGTTATAACTAATTAGTTCTTAATATTGCCAAGCAGCTGCAGCGTCCTTCATATTTCATGGCTGGAGGGCTTTATTATATCTAAAAACATTTAAATTGCTAGATCTAGATTTTTGTATATATATGATATACATCTATTTTCAGGCTATTATATCTATTAATAGACTTACATGCTATAATATTTTACCATGGCACGATCCATACAACAATACCGTGCGTGAATCTATACATTTTGATTAATATATTCCACGACTCGTGGAATATATATGCGGGGTATCGGATACCCCGCATGATCAAAAGACTTGTGGCGATTACATTATTGCTAACCGACCCATAATGCACGGCGCTTGTTCCATTATGCGGTTTAAGGTCCTGGGTGAATGCCATGTGCGCTTTAGGTCCTGGGTTCGATTTCTGCGTAGATCCCCGACATTATCGAGAGCGTGAAATTATGGCTAGTTGCTGTGATGTTGAGTTGAGGTCACAGTCAATGGACCAGATTCGCACGTTGGATTGGTGGCGACTGCTGAACCCTCTGCTTCATGTTTCTTCTTTCTCCTTCCTTGCACAAAGCAGTAGCTCCTAAGCTGGAGGTCATGCCAAAAGTGTATGCACACTTCTGCCAAGCAAGGATGTCTTATACGCCCGCATATGGCACATGAATGTTGCAAACATGCATTCACTGTTGTATCCTGTAAAGCTTTCTGCACGGTTTGGGCTCCGAATCCTAACCGTCAGTGGTTAGCTCGTCCGGTCCGATTTACCGAACTTCACTGTTACTAACTAATACCCATCCATCCCGCTGTCGGTGATTACAGGTCTTAACTAATACTGATATTAATTTACTCGCGGCTACTGTTAGCTGCGGCGGCTAAAGCGACTACTGATAGTCGTCCGCCATCTTAATGCCGCACCGCTGCAGAAGTCCATACCTGAGTATGGGCGGGGGCTTCACCTGAGTAAAGCTGGGACCTGCGTCCCTGGTTCGTCTGACCGATCGAGAGTAGCTCCCGAGAGCTATGGCTTCTGGATACCGCGTCGCCCAGTCGTACTGGGGTCTTATCGGCGCGAGGCCCAAGTGGAGTCACTGATGGCTATTTATTCAATACACTTGTCTCAATCGGTATCTTTCGATGCCCCCATTTTTGTGGTTGTGTCGTCTGAACTATACAATATCCACAAAGTTTTTTACGGCCGACAGACATGGTCAAAGTATAACAGATAAGATAGAGTCGGTTGGTCAGTCTAGCTATGAATCTTCGGGAAACAACACCCCATGTATGCATCGGAACGATATGATTATTTCCACGCAATTTGCCCCAACGTTTCGCACATCATTCATGGTGGGTCCGCAAAAGGCATGTATGTGCACTGCACGCAAAACTTGTACGAACTTACCATGAGGATGGGTCCGGATCCACCGCCCCAGTTCCAAACTGCAGTACCTCCCGAGGCATATCCAAGCTCTCGGCAGACCACTGATGCTTCTCTGTCGCTAAATTCGTCATCACTGCAAATAAATAAAGCAGACAATTAAGCCGGGATTCGGAAACTCAAGCATTATCTATCGCAGTTCATTCTCACTTCATCCCGGAACGTCACATTCACATTGTGCATTTGGTTGTCGTGTGTATGCATGGGCAACCCTTCACATATTCATGTATTTATGCAAAGCAAGTGTGTTACCGGCACTATCAGCTTGCCGAATTTGAAAACTTCCCCTGGTTTTATTCGTTATGCCTTAAATGGTTTCCAACTCCACATGCATGTGAGGTGCGTTGCACCTTCCATCTTCCACTTCAGGCCACTCACCAAACCGTGCCCCATTGCACACCGTTGTAGACCTCCACACGACCCTCGCTAGGAATGCGTCCGCCCACAAGCCGGATTGCGTAGTTAGTAATCGCGATCGTCGTTGATGGTGGCGGACGTGGTGACGGTGGACGTGGCGATGGCGGCAAGGGTATGCTTGCTGCGATCATGTCGGCAAATGGAGGGGTGAGCCGGTGCAGACACGCTTGCTCGTCTTGGTTGACTCCAGCCAGGGCGAAAACATACTTATCGGGTGGTTAACCTAATGCCTTATTTGTAAAAGTGCACTTTCCATACAGCTTGGATGACTCTGCCCAGGGGCAACAGGCCAACCAGGGCAGGCCAACATCCAATAATATGTTCCGTCATTCTGGCATTAACGTCTGTAATGTTTTATGGTACATAGATTTGCCGAAGTATATTAGATAGGGACCGTACGGACGTTAAGCATCATTTCCATCCTTGCTGCTAGGCAGGTCCCTGTATGTATGTAGTGTTAGAGACGCGTCTCTAACACTAAAAAAATGAAATGATGCTATCGCGATACGATCGTATGCATGTATGCATGCGTGCAGTATGCATGTGGCATACACAGCTTGTAAACACCTAAGCTTGCTGAACCGACATACATACGCATAGCATGTCAACAGTCCTCATCTTGCATCATCGGTGACCACCACATATATGTCGGTTGTGAGATAACGAGGTCTTGCTTTTGAACCGTGACTCAGACCGCCTATCCTAGCTAGTGATGACGAGTTCCCGTCCACCACTTCGTTCCCATCCTACAGATACTTACTGTAGCACCGGACACCAACGTCCTGCAAGCACCAATCCGAAATCATAATGTGATGTACGATGGAATATATAGCTAGGGACAATACATTTGCGTTGTTTTCAGATTATTATAAAAAGCGTGTTATCAGGGTGCGCACGGGCACGTGTACACAGTAAACGTTTGGGCCAGGTGGGCACACGCACACGTGACATTTGTTACGACCTGCCATGATATCAAGAATATAGCGGGAGCACAGCAGATGGAGGTATTACTGTAGGTCGTAGCCGTAATAAACGTAAGATGTGCCTACGTGACTAAGCGTAGCACGTACAAGATATTCCAGCCGATAGTAATAGGGGTGAGGGTAGCGGCCACGGGTGAAGATATGCCCCCCTGTCCCACACATGCATACATAAATATGCTTACACACCTCGCTGTGGTCGCAGTTGTTAACACCCCAGCCCCTGAAGGAGCACTGGTACAGCCGGGCTGGTGTCGGGGAGGCAGAACAAGACACGTCATCCTGCGAAGATGCAAATAAAAGCAAGGCAGGGTCGGTATACTGGTTTCTATACCAATGTAGTTGCTGGCCGCTGAAAAGGCCTCCCGAAATGCTGGAGAAGTGCTGTGCGCGTGTTTTTGGTTGTTACATGTGCCGTACTGTGTACCACCTACGACAGGTATGCCGGCCGCAGCCTGACGTGGGTGGGGAACGAAAGTTTGGCCCCTTAATTTCCACACCGCCGTGAAGTAGCATACGTACACCCTGCCACGCACCATTATACACGCATGTTTGGCTTACCGGGCTCTTTGAGTCGAGCACCTTTCCGGCCCTATTTCCATGACATAGCTTAGTGAAGTCAGTTGGTGCAGTCAACAACAGACATCGCCAAGAACTTATATGATATATGTAAGCAGCAACCTTGAGCCACCTTTCCTGTCCTTTCCTTATTAAGCGAGTACCCGTCAACATTCACTCCCACCAAACCGTCTCACTCATTACCACACAAGCAAAACATGCATATAAAGCCTAGGTAGTGCTGACTTACCATGAGAATGGGGCCGGTGCCACCGCCATACTGTGGCAACGCAGTACCACCGCCCGCATACCCCAGCTCCCGGCAAACCACTGAAGCCTCCCTATCGGTGAAATAGTCATCGCTGCATATGCATATGTGAAATCGGTACACAGCAGAGGTGCCGGGCAGACGGATTTATGTTAGGTATTAATACCTATGACCGATGTGATGATGAATGGTGTAATGATGAATGGTGATGAATATTCATCAGAATGCATGCATGAAAATACAGCAGCAGCCTGTGTAGTACGTAGCTGCTGGCCGCTGAAAAGGCCAGCCACAAGATGCTGGTGGAACGCGGACCCTAGCTAGCATGTATTTGGAGAAGACATCTGTGTTGCACGGTGTACCGGCTTAAAAAGCTACTATATGAAGCTACAGGGTAAGCAACTGCATCACTTAATTTAATAACTGTAATTACAGATTCGTTACCCTGTAGGGTTAGTTAATGTTTGCAATCATCCCTACCTTGGATTGCAATGTCAGGAGGGACAGGCTGATGCTCTTTCCCGCCTGCTGCCTGCTTTTCCACATGGAATTCAACTTCGATGCAAGTCACTCACCAAACCGTGCCCCATTGCCCGCCGTTGTAGATCTCCACACGACCCTCTCTCGGACTGCTTCCACCCGCAAGCCTAGTAGCTCCGTTGGGCGTGAATAAATTCATAGGATGCAAATCAACTGCAAGGAGCGTGCGGCATTCACATTAATAATGGGCCAAGTGGAAGGACGGATACACTATTAACAAACACTCGTCTGGAGATAATGACATATATATATAATGACATATATATATATGTCATTATATATATATGTCATTATATATATGTCATTTTATATATATATATATATATATATACGCATATATACGATATGCGATATGTTATACATATGCGCATATATATATATGACATATAGCGGCGGACATTGTAATGGTGTATATATGATGTGTGGAACAGGGGGACATATCTTCACCCGTGGCAGCTACCCTGCGAAACCCTGCCTTCCCCGGTATTTCGGGGCACCCTCATCTAGTCACCCTAGTCAACTTCTAAGTGGATCGCTTAGGTTCCGAACCCACCACCAGCATCCAATGGAATCTGCCGGATCGACGGCGGCCCAATTCCATTCGTGGTGGGCTCCTGAGTCATCTTTGTCCCAGGTCTCCTCCGCTCATCGATTATACTGGGTTTACATACTTAAGGTATTATGTACGCACTAGTTGCCTACTGTCATCGCATGTTAAGACCAGCAAAGCGCTGAGCCCCCCGGGTCCTATTACTGCTGCTACCATTCTGTATATGAGTGTCGGCTACTTTCCAACACCGCAAATAGAAGAGACTCGCTGCTGCAGCTGCTGCTCGTTTCACGAACACCGCGGATCACTTGTGGATGGAATCAACCTTTCTTCGCATTCCTCTTTTCAACTTGGTATTATGTTCATAGGTCTTATGTCCTTTCAGCTGCTGTACTTGCTTTAGCCGGCCCAGGATACTAATGCTTCTGTAGGATTTGCTTGCTTCATCAGCTAATTGTAACAACCGTTGCTTGCTTGCGTGAGACTTTGGATTTGACTCATAAAGCTTATTCGGCACGGCTCAGCTCAGAGGAGCCAGTTTGACACGCAGCTGCTCGTACGTCTCGTTCAACAGTAGTGGGGAGGTTTCGCGAACGGGCAAGGCGTTTCCTTGCGTCACGAGTTATCCCGTTCACTACCGAGCCTGATAAATAATAATTTAAAGAGATATATTATTCAATATGATTAACTGACATTACAGTAACAGTGTTTGTCGTATGATTAACTTTCCTAGAAATCCAGTTATTGTATTGTTGTACTTCGTGTTGACTTCCGGCCAGAACACTAACGGCTGTACGACAGATAAGATGGAATGTTTGGTATAAAGGAGATGATGTTCTGACTGAAAGTTTGTTCTGTGATACCTGTAACGGTTGAGGTTGGCTTTACCTACACAGTTCCACTCGCCTATATCTTAACAGGTTATGAGCCCCGCGCCGCCGCGGCAAGCGAGCGAGCGTGTTGATATCTCGTCCAGAACTCCTGCATATCGTAGTTTGGCGGGATACCTGTACTGGTTCTGGAGCGGACTTCCGAGATACACTTTGTATTTATGGCAGGGTCTTGCCTTTTATCCTCGCTCTAATCCCAGACCTATGTAACGTATAACGAGGTGATCGCTCTGTATTCGCTGCTTAGTTAACAGGTTATGAGCCCCGCGCAAGGATAGTGTCGCGGTCTGCCGGAACCAGCCAACTGCGGGATTGCAGTCTCAGGATAAGAGCGGCTCTGGTACATTTGAGCCTGGCTGCAGGCAGGGAGGCTACATACAGCCGGATTTGCGAAATGGCCGAACAATCGAAGCGGGTCCCGAAGTTGGAGTCGATCGCCGACTACCCGCAATGGGAGCCGAGGGCAAGAAATGCCCTGATTCTGGATGGTTATTGGGATGTAGTCAACTCTGCTCCTATTACCTCTGTCGAGAAAGGTTTAATGGCGAAGGCCGCGCTGATCATGATGGTCGGCGACAAGTTCCTTCAGGAGATTGATCAGTGCGCGACATCAGCTGCTGGATGGGCATATCTGAAGAAGATCCACAGCGAGAATCAGAAAGGGCACCAGCTACTCTACGACGCACAAATACGCAGCCTCAAGAAGGGTAACGATGAGCGCGTCGAGGATTACGTTAAGCGCACCATTCAGCTGCGTACCAAGCTCAAGGATTCGGGTTTCGACTACCCGGAGAACATCACTGTCAAGCTTATGCTAGACGGCCTGCCGCCGAGTTTCCAACACTTCGTTCAACAATACACGGCGACTGGCAGCTTGGACAAGCTGACTTTTGATGGCATACTGCCACTCCTGGTCACGGAGGAGGCACGCCAAGCGAGCGAGATAACCCAAGAACGGGTAGGGGCGCTGGTAGGAAGAATGCACGCCACGGACAACGTCAACCGTCAGCGGTGGCAACCAGGTACTCAACCAACACAACAGGAGGGTTGCTGGAAGTGCGGAGCACCAGATCACATCAAGAGAAATTGCCCTCAGCTCTACCAAAACCAAGGGGGGAACCCAAGGCCCCACTTCGGTGGAGGTGGCCGCCATCCCAACAAGTTTGGATTGTTTGCAGCCGCTTTATCTGCAACTACGGAGGTGTGCGGCATCAAGGGTGTACCGCAATGGTACATTGATTCTGCGTGTGGCCTGCATCTGACTGGCTGCAAGGAGGACTTGGATGACTAGGCGCTCAAGGGTGCATCACTGAAGGCCGAGGGCTATGGAAGCGTGAAGCTCCTGACAAACGTTGATGGCTCTGAGTACACGTTGGAGGTCGAGCAAGTATGGTATGTCCCGGGTGCAGACTTTCGGTTGATATCAGCAAGTGAGCTTGATAAGAAGGGGTACAGTATGGAGATTCGGGATGGCCAGTTGAACCTCTATGTTACAGTAAAAGTTCCCGAGAGGATGATTAGGTTTCTGGGCGTGCGACCTTATGGCCATAGGTTTCTCAATCCTCTT